GAGCCACTCGCTCCTTGCCACTGGTGAACCCCACCAAACCAGACACCTCTGTAGCTGCAGAACAGCTCCAGAACGGGGTGGGGGGTTGGCTTAATGTCATTACAGGTGTCTTGCTCTCTGCCGCTTAAGCCACTTTGCCCCCAGCATGCCTACTCCAGCTGGGACACCGTCTTGCCTGGGTCCCGCTCTCTGGGGATGAGGGGGGTGACCAGCAGAAGCTCTTTTGGCTCAAATCTAATAGGGAGGTCCAGAAACTGGCTGCCTGGGATGTGGGATTGGCCTCTCGGATATTTCCAGGCTGTTCTCCTAAAACAGGAGAGCCCAGCCTGGTGTTTTCCCTTGCCAGGATTGGGTGAAATGCGGGGTTTCCTGGTGCTGCAGGGCCCCCCAGGATTTGGGCAGGAGATCTACTCACATCACGGCTGGCTGGAAGCAGTGGCTGCCTGTGTGCTCATACATCACCACGCGGCTCGAGGGAAACGCTTTGGTGCTGTATTTGACGCAGCAGGGACCAGAAAAGTTGACAGAAGCTGGAAGAGAAGTTAAGTTTTCTGATTAAACCAGACCAGGAAAATCACCAGTGGGGAGAAGCAGGGTCAGAAGACCAGAAGGTCCCCGCTGGAGGAGGTGCTGCTCCCACCATGGGCTCCCACCACAGCCATCCTTCCCTCAGGAAGCCAAAGAGCAGCAAGACGTGCCTCTCCTTTCCCACAGCAGATGCTCGGAAGGGAGAGCTGCCAAGCATTACTAAACCTTATACAGCAGAAAGAAAGAGGAGAGAGCTCCTCGGAGAGGAGAGCTTGGACTCACTTGGAGAAGAGGAGACCCGGTAGCAGAGGACAGTCACAAAAAGTACAGCGAGGGCAGCTGTGGAGGTCTTCATGCTTCTGTTGGGTGGAGACAAATTGTCGGCGTCAGGCTAGACTGCTGCAGAGAGCCCCTTGCTGTGCCCGATGTGGGATCCCTGGGTTCAGCCCGCTTTATAGAGGGAGGGAGGGAGCGAGGACGGAAACATGCCGGAAACATTGCTACACGGCATGACACAATGGAAAACGTGCTGTGTCAAGGGTGCCGCGCAGACCTGTGGAGGGAAGTGCCCGGACCCCCGATGAGAGTAGTGCCCTGGTGTGGCATAGTATGTAATGATATGACAGCATGAAATGCTGGAGAACAGGATATGACCTCTCTTTTCCTTTCCCCTGACCACAGGGCTCCGTAGAGAACCTAGAAGTAACAATTCAGAAGATCAGTAGATGGACCTCTTGCCTAGAAGTCACATGATGGCAATGGATGGAGAATGACCGCGGCTGGCACGCACTCGTGTTTCCCAGAATATCTGCATCACAAACTGGGGACAATTCACTTCTCCCACAGCGACTGGAGCAGGGGAAGTCCGTCAGTCAGGCAGCCCC